CCGGCACCCCTAGGTCCGCCCAGGAAAGAGGGCGGGAGTCAATTCCAGACCTGGTTTTGGATTTGCTAAAATCACTGCTGAATCTAGGCACGGTGGTGCACTCCTGGATTCCAGCTCGTGGGAGGCTGATACAGGAGGGTTGCCGCAAGTTTGAGACCCGCTTGGGCTATATAATAAGTTCAAGGCCAGGCACAGCAAGAGCCTGTTTCAAAAAACCCACAAACAAACAGAAATCGCAGCTGAGCATAGCCCTAAGCGAACAGCCTGCCTCACCTGGGGCGGGATGCGGGGAGGAGACCAAGCACCCCAGGCCCAGAAGGAAATGGGGGGCAGCAAGCAGGGATCGGTAGGCCATAGGTGGTGATCAGCGACAGCTTCAAGAGGGAGGGGGCTATAGGTGAGTCTGGGAGTGGAGTGTGGGAAAAGCCACCCCCTTCCTCCCCCAAACCTCAGCCCTCCTGCCTGCTACTCCGGCCCCCTCACGCCATATTAGTTCGTGCTTTGCCTCAATCCCTTCATATTTTACCAACTGTCTTTTATATTTTTTTTGTTGTCATTGAAAAAAATTTATTGTGATTTTTCTAATGTTTTTGGTGCTGAGGATGGAATCTAGGGCCTTGCACATCCTGGGGACCTCACCCCTGACCCACACCTCAGCCTTGGCTTATTATTTCATTTATGTATTTATTTGTAATATTTATTTTTTGAGAGAAGGTCTAGTTGTGTAGCCCAGGCTGGCCTTGAACTTGCAGCGATCCTCTTGCCTCAGCCTCCTGAGTGCTGGGATGACAGCCATGGGCAGTAGGCTTCTCCTCTAATATTTTCCATTGTTGCCATTATGAGGAAATGGAAATAGTATCAATCCTTTAAATACAGTGTAGCTCCCCCTGCTTTTGCATTACTGGTGATTGAACCCAGGAGTGTTCTGCTGCTGAGCTAAACTCCCAACCCTTTTTAAAAATATTTTATTTTGGTTGTTTTTTGGTTTTGGGGGGTTTTTTGTACCAGGAATCAAACTCAGGACCTTGAGCTTGCCAGGCAGGCGCTTATGCCACTGAGCTATATCCCCAGCCGAAATATTTTATTTTGGGACAAAATATTTTATTTTGGTCTTGCTGTGTTCCCCAGGATGGTCTCAAACTTGGGATCCTCCTGCTTCAGCCTCCCTGTGTGCTGGGATGATAGGTGTGAGCCACCACAGCTGGCTGCAAAGTAACTTTTGAAAAGGCAGGAGTGCACGCCCGCATCCTCTGAAAGGTGGAAAGTACCCGCCCCTCTGGCTGTTTTTGGACACTGGGGACAAGTGTTCCTGGGACCAAGGGGAGCGTCCTAGGAATGCTGCTCGCACCCTACAGTGAGGACCCCACCCTTACCCCGAAGAACAATCCAGCCTCCCATACAAGCTGGCGCGGGGCTGCGGATATAGCTCAGCAGCACAAGCATCTGCCCCGCAAGTGCAAGGTCCTGAGTCTGATTGCCAGTACCAAAAAAAAAAAAAAAAAAGCCCATACAAGCCGGCCCAGTTGCGGCAAGAGTACAGTACAGATTGCCCTCATCAAGCAAAACTTAACAGAGGCCATTGTTGCATACTGAAGTCTGCACTGGGACGAGGCCAGACCAAAATGCAGAGCTTATGGTGGGGGCCACAGGATCCAACTGAATGGGCCAACCAGGTGTGGTGGTGGCACACACCTGTAATTCCAGCACTCAGGAGGCTGAGGCAGGAGGATCGTTGCAAGTTTGAGACCAGCCTGAGCTACGAAGTGAGCTCAGAGCCAGCCTGAACTGCATAGCAAGACCCTGTCTCAAAAAGACAAAAAAAGAAAAAAAAAAAAAAAAGGGCCAACTCTGCCCCTAAACACAAAGGGGCCCAGGCAACCCCAACAAGCACATAAGGAAGGCCTCTGGGTTTTTATTACTGACTTGTTTTTTTTAGTGGTATTGGGCAGTTTTTTGCACTGAGCTACATCCTCATCCCTTTTCTATTTTTAAATTTTGAAACAAGGTCTCACTGAGTTGCTAAGGCTAGGCTTCAGTTTGGGCTCCTCCTGCCTCAGCCTCCTGCAGTCCAGGGATGACAAGTGTGCGGCATCACACCCAGCTTTCTCCTGGCTTTTAGTCCTGTGAGGAAAGTGACTCTGAAACAACCCATCTGCATCTTATTTCTTCTCCTTCAACCCCTTTTCTGCCTGTAAAGCCATCTCCTCTGCTGGGCTCAGGGGCTCCCTGTGCGCTTGCAGATGGGGTGCTGCCTGCTTTGTGAATCACTGAGAAAAGCCAATGAGATCATTCATCTCACTTTGTTGAATTTTTATCCTTTGACACCCTCTTCTGGGACATTTTATCTACATTGCAAGCTACAATGTGGCTCTTTTGGGGGGCAGAGGATCTGACTTCTTTCACTGAGTAAGTTTTTAAAGGCTTTCTTCCTTCCTTTCTTTGCTTCTGGGGAATAAAACCAGAGTCTTGACCCTGAGCTCCAGTCCCAGGCCCTTTTTTATTCTGAGACAGATCTCCGTAAGTGGCTAAGTTGCCCAGGCTGGCCTTGAATTTGCCATCCTCCTGCCTCAGCTGCCCCAGCAGGCGGGATGACAGGCACGGACCAAACCTGAATCTCCCCCCTTTTTAGTTGACACCTAATAATTGCACACAGTTATGGGCTACGCTGTGATGCGGTGCATGTATACAATGTGTGCTGATCATATCAGCATTTCCATCTCCTCATTTCTTTGGAGTCTTTGATCGCCTCTCTTCAAGTTCCTCATAAAATGCATAATAGGTTACTGTGAACTATAGTCAACCCACTGTGCTTTGTTTTTTTTTGAAACAGGGTCTTGTATGCAGTTCAGTCTGCCCTTGAATTTACGATTTAGCCCAAGCTGGCCTCAAACTCCTGGCGATCCTTCTGCCTCAGCCTCTCCAGTGCTGACATTACAGGCGTGCGCCACCACACCCGGCTTCTTTTTCTTTTTATTGGCAGTGCTGGGGCTGGAACCCAGGGCCTTATGCTAAACAAGCTCCACCACTGAGCTACACCCTAGCCCCATGAGACCAACTTTTTAGCTTCCACACATGACTCAGAATATGCAGTATCTATCCTTCTGTCTACTTTACTTGCACGATGTCATCCCTCCATTTCCACCTATACTTCGGGTCAAGAAGGGTTTAAGGTTGAGGCTTTGGGATCCCCCAAGCGGGAGCCAGCTGGAGACCACAACTCCCGGTGTGCCTCGCGTGTACCTGGCGCCCGGAGACTACAACTCCCAGCAGGCCCCCGCGGCGGCTGGGGGACCACAAGTCCCGGCGTGCTCCGCGCGGCAGTGGGTGGTGGTGGCGCCATCTTGCGCGGCGCGGATTGAATGAGCGCGCCGAGCCGGGGCCACCGTCGCTATCCGAGCAGGCCGCGAGCAGCCGCCGCCATGGCCTCGCCGTTGCCCAGCCGCGCGGGCGGACCCGCCACCCCGCTGTCCCCCACACGCCTGTCGCGGCTGCAGGAGAAGGAGGAGCTGCGGGAGCTCAACGACCGTTTGGCGCACTACATCGACCGCGTCCGCGCGCTCGAGCTCGAGAACGACCGGCTGCTGCTCAAGATCTCCGAGCGCGAGGAGGTGACCACGCGCGAGGTGCGTGGGGTTCGCGGGATCGGGGCACCGAGCGGGGAGGCGACGCGCACCAGGCTGCCGAGAGGACTGGGAGACCCCGTGCAAGGGGTGCGCGCGGGGGACCCCCGGGGACCTTAGGGGTTTCGAGGGATCCGAGGGGCAGTTGCGGCCACGCAAGCCCCGCCCACAGAGGGTTCCGAGAGATCCCGGGGGAGCCGGCCCGAGACGTCCAGACGGGGCATGCCCCGCCCCCTAGGAGGTCCAGGAGATTTCGAGGACCCCAAGTGGCGGATGCAGACCGGACAGACCTCATCCTCCTGGGGTTCCCCAGGGTGTTTCAGGGACTCCTCAGTCAAGGGTGCAGAGCCGGGGCTGCCCTGAGGACCTCTTAGATTTCCAGGACGCTCTGGAGGAGGGATGCGCGCCCAGTAAGCCCCGCCCACTGAGGGGTGCAATATCTGGGGGTACCCCTGACACAGGGGGCCTGCGGAGTGTTTCTGTGGACCCCAAGTGAGAGGTGCAGGTTGTGGCTGTCCTTTGGGGTCCCTGGGGCTTTTGAGTGAGGGGACAGACCAGGCAGGTGCATGTCTTCCCAAGAGTCAGGGATTTGGGGGCACTCTCAAAGAGGTGATGGCCCTGCTGCCCCGGGGATCTCTAGTGGTTTGGGGAACCCCCAAGGACAGGTTTGTCAGACTGGGCAAACCCCACCTACTGAGGGATCAGAGATCTTGGGGAATCTCTCAGCAAGAGGAATAGAGGGGGAGAGGCCTCCTTTGAGAGGTCCCCAGAAAATGAATTTCAGGATCCTTCCAGGGAGGAGTCTAGACAGGGCCATCCTACCCAGCGAGGGGTCCTCAGTATTTGGGGCACCCCTGAGGGCCAGGCTGCAGTCTTGAGGTCTCATACTTTATCCCTCATAGGATTCTGTGGCGATCTGGGGGACCCCCTGACTGAGGAAGTCTAATCCAGGGTAGACCTTGCCCCTAACTGAGCTGGAAAAGTGTGGGCACTCTCGTCCCAGGAGGGAATGGGGGAGTCTCTGGTCCCCGAGGAGGGGGTGCTCAGGAGGGTGAAGGATCTTAGTTGGCCCTGGCCAAGTCACTTGGTCTCCTCGTGGAGTTTTGGGGAGAATACAGGCGTGGAATCCAGGTCTTGGGGTGAACCCAGGGGAGGTCCATGAGTGGGGTAGGGTGCCCCCACCCCAGGCCTGCGGTGGAGGGCTAGGGACGGGTTCTGGGGGAAGTCTGGGTGGCTCTGGGTTGAGCCCAGTGGCCTGGTGGGGCCGACCTCCGGAGGAACCTGAGGGGCCAGCAGGTAGGCTTGAGGCAGTTGATGCAGCAAGAATTGTTGGGGTTTAAGGGTGGGCCCAGGGCTTCCCTGCCAACGGAGGGAAGGGAACAGCAGGTCTTCATGGGGTCTGCAGAGTAAGGGGCTGAGCAGAGCCCTCCACAGGGTTCCTGCTCTGCGCTGTCTCCCACCTATGGCCTGGTTCTGGAGGCCAGGTGAAGTGGGGGTCTGGGGAGGTTGCCAGTGATCTTTTTGTGGGAGCCTCTTAATCCTGCGAGTGGCCTCGGGCAAGTTACCCAACCCGTTTGAGATGGTGGCATAATAATGCCCTGCTTCGGTGCCCAGGGCAAGTACTTCTAGGAGCCCTTCGTTCCTGCCGTGGGTGCCAGAGGCCGGGACGCAGAGAAACAGAAAACCCAGCCTGTGCTCCAGGGCTGTGGAGGACCCTGCGATACCGGTTGAGTAGGGCCCCTGCTTTTATCTGTGTGACCTTGCAGTGGGCCCTGGACCTCTTTGGGCCTCGGTGTTGCCGTAGGCCAGTGGGGACAGAGCATGCACAACGTCCTCGAGGCGAGGGCTAGATTCTGTCCTGTCAGGCGCTCGGGTCCTGAGGCACCTTGTCCTCACAGGCCCTCTGTGTTCTGCGGCCCCCTGCGGGTGCAGGGCCTGGAACACCTGTGGGCGTTGCCCACACTGACCCCTGCCGGATGAGCCGCCACGGGGAAGCCTGCCCGCCACCTGTGATTCTTGGTGCTCCCGAGTCTCAGCTCCATGATGCTGGTCGGAATGCAGGACAGTCAGGCTTCAGGGGAAGCAAGGGGAGCCCTGTGGTGGGTGACACCAGCCTGTCTCTGGTGCCCAGTATCTGCAGGGTATGTCCTGGGACAGCTCTGGGGACTGGCATTGCCTTTAGTGGGTGAGTTTGGGGACCCCAGGTCTAGGGGAAGGGTTGCTGCAGGACGGTCACGTAGCAACCAAGGAGTGACCTGCATGGCCAAGAGGGCTATGGTTGGGGCTCAGGCTGCAGGAGCGGGTGGGGGGGCTCACTGATGTCCCTGAGGTGCCATTCAGAGCAGTGTGTTCCTCCCAGGCACCCTTTGCCACGTCTGGGGACCTGTGGTTGTCACAGCTGGAGGAGGCACCACTGCATGGAGCAGGTGGGAGGCCCCGGAGCACTTGCACCCAGCTGGGGATGTGCCTACCACCTGGGGTGAGCGAATCCTGAAGCCACCCCACCCCCATTCTTCTACCCCCTGCCCTCACCGCTCCCGGTGACTGCAGAGCCAGGGCGGGTGTGGGCACTGGGCCTGCATGGGGGTGTTCTTTGGTGTCTTGTTCTGGTGGAGCGGACGGTGGCGTGCATGTCCAGTGCGGTGTGTGTTGGAGAAAGGTCACTGTGGGGGGCACCTGCCCAGGTGTGTTACATTCGTGCGGGAAGTGTGACTCTGCCTCCCACCGAGGCACAGGGGAGGGCCGGCGGCCGCCCAGGGGGATTAGTGAGCAGTGAAGCCCCGCCAAGCTGTGCCACGCTGTGCATCTGTGCCACCCAGGGAACGGCCACCTCGGGTCATCTGCCACCACCCCCCCTTGGGCCAGCATGTGCTCACGCATCTGTGAGGATTTCTCAAGTGTGGCGCTCACAGGAAGCCTCGGGGTTACACTAGACAAGAGGCCCTGCTGCGGCCCCTGCGGCTGCCAGGCCACCTGTCTCTGGTGAGAGGGGCTCTGTGAGGTCATCTGAAATGCCACACCCCTGTGTGTGTGTGTGTGTGTGTGTGTGTGTGTGTGCGCGCGAGTGTGTGGACTTGGGGAGGCAGCACAAGTGTTGTGCACAGGGCCAGAGTCAGTGTTTCAGCCTTGCTGGCCAGATGGCCCCACTCTGCCCCTGGACAGTACGTGACAGTACGTAAGTAAGCGGACCATACTATGCACTAGGGAGACTTTTTTTTAACCACACTGAAATGTGAGTTCACTGTGATTTGCTGGTGTCACAAGTCAACGCCCCTCTCCCTGCCTGCCCTGTGCCATTTGAAAACCTGAGAGGAATTTTGGCTATGGGATGGATGGGAACAGGTGGGGCTGGGTTGGCCTGTGCTGCAGTGTGTAGATCTGGCTCTGATTACTGTTACTAAAGCAAAAGCATCCGGGCACAGTGGTGCACAGCTGTCACCCCAGCACTCAGGAGGCTGAGGCAGGAGCATCTGTTGTACATTTTGGATCTTATTTACTCTTTAAGCTTCTCACACTAGAGAGACAAATAGGATGTTTGCATATGTGCACCTGGTTTATTTCACTTATGAGTATGGTCTTGAGTTGCTTCCATTTATCTAGAAAAGTCTCTAGTTTATCCTCCTTTATGGCTGAGTAGTACTCCATTGTATAAAAAGATCACTTTTTTTGGTCCATTCCTCGGTTGATGGGCATTTGGGTTGTTTCCAACACCTAGCTATTACAAATTGTGCTGCTATAAACATAGGTGCACATATATAGCTGTGGTGTGATGTTTTTAATTCTTCTGGCAAGATACCCAGCAGGGGAATAGCTGGATCAAATGGGACCTCCAATCCTAGTTTTTTGAGTAGTCTCCACACTGATTTCCACAGTGATTGCACCAGTCTACACTTCCACCAACAGTGGAGAAGGGTTCCTTTTCCCCACAGCCTCTCCAGCATTTCTTATTAGTTGATTTCTTGACAATAGCCATTCTTTCTGGGATGAGATGGAATCTCAGTGTTGTTTTAATTTACATTTCTTGAGTGACCAGTGATGTTTAACATTTTTTCATATATTTATTTGCTATTTATAATTCTGCATCTGAGAAGTGTGTGTTCATCTCAGATGCCCATTTTTGGATTGGGTCTTTAAATTTGGGAAGTCTGGTATTTTTGAGTTTTTTTTATACATTCTTAATAGTAATCCTTTGTCTGAGGAACAGCTGGCAGACATTTTTTTCCCACACTGTAGGTTGTCTCTTCACTCTGTTGGTGGTTTCTCTTGCTATGCAAAACCTTTTTAGTAAGATCAGATCCCAGTTGTTGATTCTTTGTGATAGTTCCTGTGCAATTGGGGTTTTATTCATAGTCTTTGCCTACACCAATGTCTTCAAGAGTGACATATTCTATCTTTCAGAAGATTTAATATTTCTGTTTTAATATTTAGGTCTTTGATCCATTTCGAATTTAGTTTAGTGCATGGTGAAAGATATGGGTTCAGTTTTAATCTTCGGCATGTGCAGAGCCAGTCTTTCCAGCACCACTTTTTAAACAGGCTACTTTTCTTCCAGTGAATGTGTTTGGCATCTTTGTCAAAGATCAGGTGGCAGGGCTGGGGATATAGCTTAGTTGCACAACACCTGCCTGGCAAGCATGAGGTCATGAGTTCAGTTCCTGGTACCAAAAAGAAAGAAAAAAGATAGGTGGCTGAATATGTCTGGAGTTGTCTCTGCACTTTCTAATCTGTTCCACTGATCTTTGGGTCTGTTTTTTGTTTTTTGCTTTTGTTGTTGTTGTGGTTGTTGTTTGGCCAGTACCACACTGTTTTTGTCACAGTAGCTTTATAGTGTAATTTCATGTCAGAGATTGTGATGCCCCCTGCCTTGCCTTTGATGCCCAGAATGGCTTTTGCTAGTCTAGGTCTCTTCTGTTTCCAAATAAATTTTAGGATTGTTTTCTCTAATTTCTGTGAGATATGCTGTTGGAATTTTGATTGGGATTGCACTAAATCTGTATAACAGT